CTTACAGGAGCCCTGTCCCTGTGCCCCCTTAGCCTTGGGCACTGGCCTGGGGTTGTTGGACGCCACAGCTTCCTGCTGATCCTAGGGCCCTCATGGCCACGATGAAAAGTCATCGTTGAGGTCAGACAGCCTTGAACTTGGATCCAGCTTTGCCATTTAATCATCGTGTGACCTCGGCAAGTCATTGGAGGAGTCTCAGTTTCCTTATCGATCGAATGCGGATCATAGCACCTCCTCAGGGTTCTTTGAGGTTAAACCGAGTCCTGTGCCAAGCGTCCGCCACAGTGCTTGGCACAGAGTGGGCACTCAGCGAGGGAAAGCAAAGGGCGTCCTGCCCTGGGGCTGCCCGGAACCAGCCTCAGGGGCCGAGGGTTCGGCACAGGCCGCGTGTTTGCCCATCGGTGGAGCTCCAGCTGGATGACACTGGAGACCAAACAGAAGGAGACCACGCCAGAGGCTGCCTGGCATGGCGACCGGCTTTCCCATCTGAGAGACGGAGGCCAGAGCTGCTGCTGCTGCCCGCTCCCTGGGCATCCTGGGAAAGTCTCTCCAGCAGGGACTTGCCGGCGGCAAGGCAGAAACTCCCCAATCACCACAACTGATGAGTGGGTTCTTGCACCCACTTGCTCCCCACCACGGCAGCCCCTCAACCTGGGACCCACCACCTCCACTTCCTCATGGTCTCCTGGCCTTGGTCCTCAGTTCTCCAGCCCACCCTCTCCAGCTGCCAGGTGATCCTCAGAAACCTGTGCTCCCAACAGGGCTCAGCCTGACATCCGAGGCCCCTGCCAGCAGCCCTGCTGCTCTCTGTGGAAGACCCCACAGGCCCTTTGCCTGCTCTCTGCTCCCCCCACCCACTACGATCCTATGAGGTCTCAGCCTGGGGGAGAGGTGAGAGAGACGGTCAGGGCCACTGAGGGTTCCGATTTTCCCAAAGGGACACTCTGACACATACTGGGCCCCAATAAACACCCACAGGTTACGGAGGCATCCCTCCCCTCTCATACTCCCCACCCTCCCTTCCTCCACACACAGGCTGGCACACCCACACAGCCTCTCCTCGGGCAAATGAGCAGGCCTGGGTTTGAGGGGCCAACTGAGGCCCCAGAGAGCCAGTGAAGGGGTCTGCCTTTGGTCTCACCTGCAGGACAGTCCCTGGCTTGCAAGGACTCCCTGCACCGCTCCAGCCTCCTGCTGGCCTGGGCATCCACAGCTTAAATGATCCTTTCCTGCTCCCAGCCCCCTCCCCCATACACATACAGACCTGGCTCTGCCCTCCAGGGTCTCAGACACTCTGTTTCTCCAGCTAGGATGACTCAGGAAATAAAGTCTGGATCCCGGCTCGCCCTCCAGGGCAACCGCCAGTCCCCACGCAGGTTGGACTGACCAATTTGTCATTGGCCCACCTGGCTTTGTAGTCCCTCTGCCTGCCTTCCCCACTGCCTAGGCCCCCACTCTCTCCAAGTCACCTCCTCCAGGTAGTCTTCCCTGGTCCACAGCCCCAGAGGCACCCTGGGCATGTGGTCCGGCGTCTGGTCACCTCTACAAGACTGGAATCGGGGCCCAGGAATTAGAACTTTCACAGCTTCTGTCTGCCCGCTCACGGCTCCATCACAATGAAGGCCCTCGAAGAGCATCTCTCAGCGGAATCACAAGAAGGGGGCCTTCCCTCTGGGAACCCCATTCTCCCCACCGGATCCCTGTGAGCTCCTTCTCGGGCCTGCACATCTCTGGCCCTTTCCGGTCCTCTGTTCCTGCTCCTCGGCCAGGCCCAGATTTCCACCGCCTCGGTTTTCCAAAGACCTCCGCCCCACACTCCTGGGCGTGCAGGAGGCAGCCCTCCGGCCTTCTCTCTCAGATGCTCTCGGCACTGGCTCTGTGTCCCCTGTTACTGCCCAGCTCACTGTCCCATCTCCAGCAGGACCGGTCACTGTTTGCTCCAGCCGCAGCTCATGCGACTGGCCGATGCTCTCCACATTGCGTGCCCTTTGACCTCAGCAGTCCCTTGGTCTGTGCTGAAGAAATGGAACCAGAACAATGCGGGACCGGAACACAGGAAGGGGCTGGTTAAACTCCAGGCTTGGCCTCCCAGAGTCCAGGGCACCAGCCTCAAGGTGCCAGAGCTTTCCCGGGAGAGGACCCCTTACCCTCAGGCGCGCTCCTCTCCTGCTTTCAGGCAATCTGTGCCAACATCCACCCACCTCCTGGGGGAACCACCCCAAAGCTGAGAGAGGGCTCCCGCTGTGGTCTGCCCCTCCCAATTCAGCCTAAACAGTAGTTATCAACCTGGCTACCTGCTAGCGTTGCTTAGGCCCTAGGGAGCTTTTAAAAAGTCCTGATGCTGCCCTGGCCGGTGTGGCTCAGTGGGTTGGGCAGCGTCCTGTGCACCGAAAGGTTGCTGGTTTAATTCCCAGTCAGGGCACATGTTTAGGTTGTGGGTTGGGTCCCCAGTCTGGGTGCATATGGATCAATGTTTCTCTTCCCTTTCCCTTCCTCTCTCTCTAAAATCAGTAAAAGTGTTTTTTAAAAAACTCCTGACGCCTAGGCCCCACCCCGATTTAATTGGTCTGAGATGTAGTCTGGGTGTCTGGATTTTTTAAAATTAATAGACTTTATTTTTTGAAACAGCTTTAGGTTTATAGAAAAAATGAGTGGAAAGTGCAGATGCTTACCATATAATCCCTCCACCAGTTTCCCGTTAGTGTGGCACTTTGTTACGACTGATGAATGGACACTGATACATTCTTATTAAGTAAAGCCACAGTTTATTTTAGGGTTCACTCTTTGTGTTGTATATTCTAGGTGTGACAAATGTGTAATGCTGTGTATCTACCATTACAGCATCATAAGAATCGTTTCACTGCCCTAAGAATCCCCTGTGCTCTACCTGCTCATCCTTCCCTCCCTCCCACCCCTCCCTCCCCATCCCACCCCATCCTCTGGCAATCTCTGATCTTTTTACCATCGCTGTAGTTTTGCCTCTTCCAGGATGTCATATAGTTAGAATTATACAGCAGGTAATCCCCTTAGCTTCCTATGTGATTTTTTAAATTTTTACAATTGAGATATATTTCTATATAATAAAAGGGTAATATGCGAATTGACCCTAATGGCGGAATAACCGGGAACGACTGGTCGCTATGACGTGCACTGACCACCAGGGGGCAGACGCTCAACGCAGGAGCTGCCACCTTCCACAGGGGGAGTGCTGCTCAGCCAGAAGTCAGCTCATGGCTGGCCAGCGCAGAGGACCAGGCCTAGCCATTAGTCAGACATCCCTCGAGGGCTCCCAGGCTGCCAGAGGGATGTCTGACTGCCAGCTTAGGCCCTATCCCCCGGGGAGCGGGCCTAAGCCAGCAGGTGGACATCCCCCGAGGGCTCCCGGACTGGAAGAGGGTGCAGGCTGGGCTGAGGGACCCCCCAATCCCCGAGTGCACGAATTTTTGTGCACTGGGCCTCTAGTTAACATATAACATTGTATAAATTTAAGGTGTATGACTTGATACATTTATATATTGCAATAGGATTGCCACTGTCACATTAGCTAACACCCAACACCTCTGTCTTGTTACATAATGATAATTTTTAGTGATAGGAACAATTAATATCTAGTCTCATGCC